ACCTCTCAATCTGGATTATTTTGGTACATTGCAAAGCACGATACAATTGAATAGGAAATTCTTTGAAATACTTACTTCTGACCAAATCTAAAACCTCTTTAGACATCAGAGGTGCTTTTGTTTTCACAGAGCTTGGAAGACAATGGGGTGTTTTGCACAGAGATCATATTGTTCTCTTACATTCACAATAGCTCATTATTATAATTGTATTGTAGAACAGAGGGACAAATAGATAAGCATTATTACCTTTACTTTTTTCCTCTTACAATTTTTCTTTCTTCTTTTTAGCCAGTTTTTTTTCCTCAAGGCTATTCATAGACATCTGAATCAAGTCAGCATTGTTCGGATTACATATGAAGCAAGATAACATTCTCTTTGGATAAGTGATTGATGATTATTTTCATATTTACATTATGGACTTTGGCATTATTCAAAGAATACATAAGTTTAAGTTTGAGAAGCTTTTGAGAAATCTTCCTCTAAGAAGTGACTATGAGTTAGTTAGTGCTCTTGCTTTCTTAGATGCAACTGAGATGTCACATGGGGGACAAGATCCTAACTTTCTGTTGTATCCAATCAGATCTAATCAGGAGCCTCTTTGGATATGTAGAAGCATAGTTTAGGATGGATCTGAAATCTGCTTGCTTACATGGGCTTGTGGCTATGGACTTTACAAGCTTATTTTAAATTTGTAGTCAGCTAGCATGATATGAGAAAGACTGTATTGAGATTTTTCCCAAACAAATTGATAAAACATCTCATTTTCAATGATGTCTTAGGAAAATACCAGTTGCAATGTTTTGCTGCATGAAGGATATTCTAACTTAATGACATGTGAAGACATATGAAAACATCTGGATGGATAAGAAAAACCTTTTCAAATCAAGCATTTCTTTTATCCCACAAAATGTAATTAAATATTTAGACAGTAATTTGTTTGTTTGTTTGTTTTGGCAATTCTCCATGTGACAGGAGCCCAGAAAAAAATAGGGGTAGCAATCTTATTTGCAGACAAAGTAAATTTCAGACCAAAACTGATTCTAGTATTATTGATATAGGATGGTATTGTATCATACCTCTATGAATGTAAAATATCTGGTATCTGCTCTATGATACATCGTAGGGACCGTGCTTTATCAGGGCTACATTTAATGATATTACTCTAGAATATTCTCTTTCAAGATGATGATTAAGATGCTAATAAAAAAAATGGTGCCAGGTACCACAACAGCAACAGAACTTTGCTGTTTTCTGGATATTATTCTTTTCTTTGTTTTTGTTTTGTTTTGTTTTGTTTTTTTAATGGAATGTGCTAAATATTTATAATTTTGTTCAGATGACTGCAGAACCTGGAAAAGCTGTTGCTGCTATCGATGCATAACATACTGCTATTATTAGTCTTTTTATATAAATTGAATTTTGGGAAATTGTAACAGTGCTGCCAAATTTGGAAAAAGTCATCCCAATTTACTGTGTTGAGTTGGCATTGTATCTAAATGGACAGCCATATTGGTCTAGAAATGTTAATTTTTTTAAATTTTAATTTTATTTTTTCCATGTGTACAGGGGTAACACATCGTACTAAATATGTAAGATCATATCTACGTGGGTTTGATTACAGAAACTAATAAAGTATTCTCTAAATAATGAAAAAAAGAATAAGATAAGACTATAAGAGCAAGAAGCAATTTAAATATGTTCAGGAACCATTTTCATCTCCAGAATTAAGGATTATTTTAATCTTACATCACTGCCTTTTCTCTCTTACTTTCATTTTTAGTTTTATTTTAAGATTCCCTATTTTTAATGTTCATACAGAGATTTCTTTAACTGAAATACTGAGATAGTTTGTCTGGTGTGGAAAACTATAATAGTACACAGGATCCTAATGAGATAATTAATAATGTGAAATAGGAAGTAAAGGGCTAAAGGTGTAGGGAAAGTGGGAAGGGCGGAGGAAAGGTAATAAGGGAGAGGAAAAAATATGAGAAACTGAAAAAATGGAAATAAAGTGTTTGTAAATGGGGAGGGGAGGAGAGGGTGAAGGGAGGGCAGGGAAAAGAGGGAAAAATGAGAATCAAGACCTATTATGTAAAGGTACAGGATCCCAATAATGAATGTAACTGTATTGTATACCTAGATTGTACCAATAAACTCAATAAAAACAAAAATATATATATTAAAATAGAAGTTTAAAGAAAATAATCAGAGATAAAGCAATAACTTTTCAGTTGATTTATTTAAATAAATGTTCACTGTAGTATTATGTGAAAAACCTGCAATTACCAAAATGTTCAAAACTATTCTGTGGGAATACTGCTACCTTTTCATTTGTCCACTTTTTGGTAGACCTTAAAAACATCAGATATTTTTCATAACATAAGAAAAAACAAAACAGTAACAACCTCTCAGATATCCAACTGTATACACAGTATAATTTTTGTTTGTTGAAAAAAAAATAGATGAGTGGGCATAAGGTATTTTGTTAGAGTGGTAAGACTTCCAACCAGGTAATGCCTGAGTTCTTACTATGGATTAAATTCTTACCATTCTCCAGGCTCTGGGCTAAAAATTTTGAGGGCTGTATTACATTTATTCCTCACAAGGTCACACTGAAATTGATCTGTGCGATGTAGATAGCACACCATTAAGGATTGATCCCTGGTGTGTAGTTTCAGATAATTTTGAGGTTGAAGACTGTAGGCAAATGACTTCTTCAAGTTCTAGACAGTACTCTGCATAGTTGTAGAACTGGAATATATGCAAATCTGCATGAAATAATCCTTATTCCTCTTTGGGCTAAGTATGTTAGCCTCCGAGACAGGAAAGTTTTACAATTTTTTTATTCATAAAGTTGCTTTCTTTAGACTTCTGAGGAAAAGAGCTGCTAGGCAGATGAGTAGAATGTGTTACTCCTATTCTGACATGCCTGCCTGTCAGGACTAGCTGATACTGTACATTTTAATGATTCTTCTAGAGTCAAAACTGACATTGATATTAACAAGAGGGATTTGGGCCAAAGAACTTCATTTATGTTGAAAACTAGCCTCAAGCTTTACCATTAGCCATGCATTTTACATTAGTGTGTTCTGCTTAAGTACATATTTGTATCTAGGTAAACTGAATGATCGTTCAATACTTTAGTGCTTCATTCTGTGAGGAAGAAGGTAAAATTAGAATCATACAGCTAAGGAAAACTATAGAGCTTAATAATTTAGAAGCTAAAGGTTGCAGAGTCAGGAATGATTGAAAATCTGTGTCTGCTGAAACATCTCCTGCTTGAACCAAGTTTGTAAATGAAATAGCTCAGAGGCATTTCAAAAGCAGGCACATTCAGAAAATTAACTTGATTTGGGTGGGGTTTGAATGTATGTGTCCCTCTGAAATTCATATGTTGGAACTTAAAGGCCAAGGTGACAACAGTAATATGTGGGGCCTGTGGGAGATCATAAAGACATGATGAATGCCCTCAAACAGGATTAACCCAATTAAAAAAGAGGTTTGAGAGAACCACCTGACCTTTCCATCTCTTCTCAAGGAATCAGTATTTGGCTGTTTTTCCTTTTGCCATGTGGAGATCAGAAACAAGGTGACTTCTTGGAAGCAGAGAGCAATCTTCACTGGTCAGAAATCTATTAGCACCTTGGTCTTGGGCTTCCTGGCCTCCAGAATTTTGAACAATACATTTTTAGTATTTATAAATCACCCAGTCTTGAATATTTTGTTTTAGCAGTATGAATAGATTTAGAAATATTCTGAAAATAATCTAAAATTTCAAGTGTTTTATTAAAAATTCTTAAATATTAAATTATCAGATATTTATTGGAAGACTTGGCAGTGAAGAAAAATTGTGAGTTTTGGGAATGGAGGGACTCAGAGGTATAACTAGTGTAGGCTGTGTTCAAGGCATATCTTAAGTGATAGAAAGTCAAACAGACCTCTGATTATTAGCCTGATTTTATTTAGGTCTTGTAGTATAGAATATTTAGCTTTAGAGTGCCCTAAGAGTATTGTTCTAGAAGGGTCAGGGTCAATAGCTGTTGTAAATTCTTACGTAAGTCAATAACTTTGAAAATTATAAGAATTATTTTTAAATAGTTTTTTCTTAGAGAAATACCAAAACATTCAGAATTAGCAGAATCTATCAACATTGCCCAATGGTTTTAGAAAAATGACTAAAATAGTTACCATAAGGACTCTGTCAGTAATTTTATATTTGGCATGATAAATTTCAATATTCTTCTGCACAGTTTAAGTTTCTTTTTGTATATTTTTGCTTTGTACAAAATTGAGGAAACTTTGGATAATTGGGACAATTAGCTAGGAGAAGACTTGGGAAAATAGTTACTCTCATGGCCTCATATCCCAGGAAGCAACAAATGAAATAGCTAAAGAGAAAAACTTTAGGTGATTATTTTTAGGAATTATTTAATGCCAGTAAATGGAATATTTCATGGAAATCTTAACTCGTCAGGGAGAGAAACATTTTTGTGTGTGAATGCAACCTGAAAGTTCTGCCAGAAAAAGATAAAAATCCTTCCACTGTATGGTGGATGAGGAATGTAACGCAGCAGAAAATAAGAAGCTCAAAGTTGAGATTATGCAGAGCTAAGAAAAATTTTCCCATGTAATATACACTTGCAGCCAGGATTTTCCAGGGTATTTGGAAGAAAACATCTGCCACAAAAACCTATTTGGGGTAGACAGAGTTGGAATTAAAAAAAAATTGGCATTTGTGATTGGCATGGCTTGTGTTTAGATGGTCCCCCAAAGCCTCATGCAGTCATAGGCAAGGCTTTTTGCCGAGGTGGCTGGATCTAGAGTGTGTGACACTGGAACTGATTCATGGTGAAATGCTAGGATGAAGGGCACTAGGATTAAGGGTGTGAGTGCTACTCCCCTAAGTAGCCTGGATTAGATATAAAGGATAGAAAGAGCTGTGATCATCTCTTGCTTGCTTTGCTACCTTCTGCCCACCATGCACTGTTTCTCCTTTGCAGTTCCTGTCTGCCATGCCACCCTGCCTTGGAGCCAGCTGATTATGGACTGAAGCTTCTACAAACTGTGAGCCAAATAAGCCTTTCCTCACTTAACTTGTAGGGGTTGGATATTTTGTCTCAGCAATGAGAAAAATAACTAAGACAGTGAGGGAAACTAAAAATTATTTGTGAATTAGATTAAAAGCAAGTGATATAAAAAAGTGATGGTGCCAACAGATATTTGTAGGTGATATAATCAGTGTTGAATACAGACAAGATTTGCAGGTGAAAAAAAAATTCTATGATTAACCAAATTTGGGGCAAAACTAGAATAGTGTTGAGTCATTTCCTTGGCTTCACTGATTCTCCTTAGGAGCTGGGTGCTACCTTTGGGATCAAGCTGTATTATTCTATAGGTGAATGAGTGAAAGTATAATTGTATTTAAATATGAGTAAAGCTTACATTTCTGTATGAGGAACAATGAATTTGTTATTCAGAGTTTCCTCTTGAATATTACTGTGGGTGGATTCTGAGAAGGGACCTTTATTTTGCTGAAGTGGATGGTGAGTGAAAATATAAGGTGGGGAAGAAAGGGCTAAATTGCTCAGATTAAGGAAAGTGGATCGAGCAGTGGAGAAGGTTGTTTTGGGAGCAAAGGGGATACTTCATAAACAGAGGAGTGTTTTAGGCACCTGAAATGAGAGAGGAGTTGGGGGTAAATAAGAGCAGTTTAGAAACCAGCATATGATGTTTTGATAGGCAGGAATGTATTGGAATTCTCTTTTTCTTTCCATGTGAGCACTGTAAAAAAGTGACATTATTTATGTTTGGATCTGTGAAATAAATGTGTAGTTTGTCAGAGTCAAAATGAAGTTGGTTGTATCAATCCTAACAAGAAAAAGTAAATTAAGCCTGGAGACTGGGACTAGTCTTAGACGTGACTACCTGATAAGTAACAGACTACAAATTGTACAAAGGCCACCATGATCTTGTACAAAAAATGTTCCTACAAGGACATCTGCCCCACAGTTGTCTGTTCAACCTCTTACTGCTGCTACTCTTATTATTAATCATTGTGGTCAAGGATGATTGTTTCAGCATATTGACGTAATCCTTCTCATTTTTGTCTATAAAAATTTTCCCTGGCCTTAACCTCTTTCAATGTGCCCATAATTTACCACAGCTTGTATATTTCCATTCCAATTCTCTGCTACTCTTTGCAGTGCTCTGCTATTCTCAAATAAATGCCTTTACTCTTTAGAGGGCCTTTCTCTTTCTCTCTCTCTCTCTCTTAAAAATTAGTTGCCGTGTGTGTGTGTGTGTGTGTGTGTGTGTGTGTGTGTATTAGGGTATGTGACATATGAAGTCTGACTTCCAGGCATTTTGGGGAGGAGAGAAGGGAAACCCAAGGAGACCAAGTTCACTTAGATTGCAAGCGAGTAAATTGAATTTTAAACTGTTTGCAATTATTATTCTGTAATCTGTATCATGCATTTAATCATACTGCATCTCATTTATTTTTATAAAATACTTATTTAATCCCTCCTGGATGTCACTACACATAATCACTGAATTGAAGGGATTTCTGTCAACAATCTCAGTGAAGGTTCTGTGGCTAGAGGGCAGAGTGGGTGGCAGACATTTTTATAGAATGATTTCAGAAACACTTTCATTTCTGTTGACATGAGCTCAATATAATAGGTGCCTGCAAGTTATTGTTATTTGCAGATTAATAAGACAGTTTATAAGCTTCTTATCCATTTTAATCAAGATGTAATTCTTCATCTAACTAATGAGGGATTGTTAGCACATAAATAATAACATTCCAAGAGCATACCTTGTCCATTTTAGTAAGTCAAATACATACTCAATTGGTGATAAAAATAAGATCTAAATTCAAGAACACTTTACATCCTTCTTCAATTGAGGGTATAACATGAAATAAATTAAGTTTCAATACAATTTATTACATTTTTTAAAAGCTTGTGCACTTTTCCTAAAAACTGCCTGGAGGCATTAACAATAAAATCAATTTAAACATCTGCATCTACTTATAGCAATACTAAAACAGAGCGTGGAAATCAAGCAATATGCCCTCTTACCCCTGGAATATTGAAGGATGCATTAAAGATATGTGGTTATTTTAACTAGGGATAGTGATAATCTTTTCTGTGCCCTAAAAAACATAGACCTACACTTCTGTTAATAAAGTAGCCAGGAGAAAGAAACAGTGTGTCAGTTGTGATTTAAAAATAATAGTTCAGGGGCTTGGCTTAGAATGTGAATGTTTAAGGCCTTCCTCTACATTGCTCCCCTGCCAGAGGATGGCTCCGCAGGCCTGTGCTCCACACACAGGAGTAGAAATCACCTCCGTTACATTGTTCCGCCAGTCACACACAAGTCTTGAGTGTGTGTGTCTGCCACTGTGAGCTGCATACATCCATTGTCCTATAACATGGGCTTTTCAGTATTTTCCCTAAAGGATCTTTCACATTTATGCTTTCTTTATTTAAGGAAAAGCCTAAAATGCAAGAAAAGGAGTACAAATATACAGTAGAACTCATACAGAGAACAAAAGGAGCTTTGCAAAATTTCTGCATCTAATTTTATTTCAGGCTGCGATTCCTTTTGTATTAATGGGATAAAAACATATACCTGACAATTAAAGATAATTACATCTCTTCTGGCTCAAACAGCCTCATTTAGATAAACAGCCAATTTGTTCAAAGTTCAAACTCTCTGACACGGCTGCTTCTTTTCTCTCTTTCTTCCGTAGAGGATAGGTAGGTGCCAGAGGAAACCTACAGGTTGTCACAGTGGTAGTTAGGAATTAGAAGGCTGGAAACCAAAGAAGGCTCCAGACCACCAAGGCGTTTGGGCCAATTTGTGTTGTTCTCACTGCCTCTATTGCTGACATTGTCTCAGGATCAATAGCACAGTGGGCTCTAAATTGTGAGGCTGCCTTTGTTGATTTCTTCTCTGTCTCTACTTTGCTTCTTCCTGGATCCCTGAAGCTTAGCCTCAGTAAACAGTGGGCTCTGCAGTGCTCTCACCCTCAGCACCACTTGTCCTGTCCCTGGGCTGCTCTGCCAGGTGAACTCACCATACAGCTATACCTGCTGTTCTCTTTGGGACCGAGGATATTCAGGATTACTTACCCTCACATGGGTCCTGGAGAAGGCATGGTACTGTCTCAAATTTTCTCTTCGTCTAGGCCTGCTATTTCCCACGTCATCCCACCCTGCTCCCCAGTTGCCAAAGCTGATTCAGTGGGTTGTCTTTCAGAGTTCCAAATGACACCTTGCTTTCTCTTTAACTTATTTGAGCTATATCTATTGCCCCTCTTGACTCTGATCTATATAGTTTTGTAATCTCTCCTCTGCATTGTTTTCTGTCTTTTTTATTGTAAAGAGAGCTATTCATATATGGGTTTTAAGAAATCTTAGTCAATAACTGCCTTGTGTCATCGACAGGAATGAAGGACGGTTGTCATCTACAAGTATGGATTTGTTTTCACTTGCTCTGTCATCATCTCAGTTGAGAAAAGAAACTAGCTCAATAACTTGCTTACTTCTTGTGTTTAACCCTTCAGAATGAGACTATAGGGGAACTGGTGCTTTTACATTTACCATATTTCTATATAGAAACTATATAAATTTACTATAGTAAAAAATCTCACAGGCTGGGTGATGTAAACAACAAAAATTAATTATCTCACATCTCTGGAGGCCGGAGTCTGAGATCAAGGTGTAGGAGTTTCCTTCTGAGATGCCTCTCTTTGCTTGTCAGTGGTTTTCTTACTGTGTCTCACAGCTTTTCTTCCATGTGCTCTCATTCCTGGTGTTTCCTCCTCACTTTGGAAGGGATACCAGTCATTTTGCATTAGGGCCCTACATTAAGAACTGTGTTTTAAATTAATCACCTCCTTAAAGATCTTGTTTCCAAACATGGTTACATTTGAGGTTACTGGGATTTGGGACTGCGGTATATGAATTTGAGGTGTTACAGTTCAGTCTGTAACAGCAACTGTGGTTTAATTGATTCAAAGAATTTTAAATCACTGTGGTGGCCCAGCCATCACAACACGAACGTACCTGAGTTGGGGAGTGAGGATTGAGAAAGGAAAGAACACTCACACCTGAGTGGAGACCAAGAGAAGTCTGGTTGATTTCTACAGAAACAGCTTTCCTTAAAGGCACATTAACAGGAAGCATCAAGCAATCATCTCCATCATTTCTTATGCAAAAACAGGAATTCCTGATTTCTACAGATAACACCAGATCTTTGGCTATCTCTTTGAGTTCCTCCCATGGCAGGGTCAAAGAACAATTAAGCTTAACAAACAGAGTCCTTGAAAGGTAACAAATGCTACACAGCTTGTATCAATGCCTTCATTGTAGAGGAAGAAGTTTCCTTTCAAAAGTCAAATGCCAGAGAGCCATGGTGAGCTCCCACAAATCACAGCCATAAAACAAATGTTAACACCATCACTACTTTTTAAAGTGTAAAACACAAGAAAGGATGGTTATATCAGAGGTACCAAACCTCAGAATGAATGGAATATCATTCTTAAATTTTATTCTTTTAATACAAAAACCACTTCAATATATGTTGGGTGGGAATATTTTAAACGAGACAGAAAATGTTAAGGAGTCACTGCCTTCTTCATTTTATATTTAAATCTCTTTTTAAATATTAAACACAATTGATATTTTAATATGTATTCCTTCAAATAAACAAACTATTCATGCACAAATATAATGTACAGACTTTGAAATTTTGATTTTCTGTTTTTTTCAAAGGGGGATAGTACTATAAGGATAATCATCTGGAGTTGTTTTGTCACTTGATATGATGGCTTGGAGTTGTTTCCAGGTAATGAAGATGCAAGGTCTCTCAACCTTGGCATTATTGACATTTGGAGCCGGATAATTTCTTGTTGGACGAGGGGCTGTCTTGTGGATTATGGGATGGTTAGTAGCTTCCCTGGCCTCTGTTTGCTAGATATCAGTGGTACTCCTCCTCCTGCCAGTTTT